TTCTCCCCTTTGCCCCGGAGGGGGTTTTTTGAGCCCCCCACAACATTTTTTACTCGACCCCCATTAGTGGTTCCCCCAAAAAAAAAAAAAAGTAAAAAAAAACAACCGTAACCTGGTTCCCCAGTTCCCAAAAGAAAATTGTTTTTTTTCAAAATTTTTTTCCCAAGGGGGAAAAACCAATTCCGTTGGGAAAACCCGGGGGGGGGGCGCTTTTTTTTAAAAGTTGGTTCCAGGGGGGGGAAAACCAAACCCAGAGGAACCGGGGGGGGGGGGGGGGCGGGATCAAAATCTCTGATGAGGCAGGCGCTTGTCACGGACAGCACTCCGGAAAAGAACGAAAGGGAAATGTAAAATCGCCGTCCGCAGCTTAGGCGCGGAGACAACATGACGGGAGGGGGTCAGGCTGCCGTGGAAAATGCAAAGAGAGTCCTAACGTAGAAATCAGACACGAGCAGACCAACGGAGCGCGCGGAAACCTCGTTTGGGGGAGAAGGATGGTGACCGCGGGGGGAGTTGGGGGGTGGGGTGAAGACGAGGGGACCAAGTGGAGCATATTTTCCAACCCCTCACGAAAACATACTGTGGTAACGCCCCGCCTCGACTTTCCAAGCACAGCAGTCGGGCAGCGAAAGCGAAAGCAACCACCACGGCTGCCTTAGTCGAGTCCAAACGCCTACCCACGTTGTACGAAACACGCTCCGCGCGCGCCTGGAACCCGTCAGCAAAAAAACTGCAGGGATCACTGTAAGCAGACACGTCTCGTACGCCTCTGCGCAGTCGCCCACCAACTCACGTTGTATCAAAGGCCAGCGACCGCCCGTAAAGGGTGTGCAGCATTGCGTGCCCGGTCCTGTCCGCGGCACACGCGCAGCGGTACGCCTGTCCTCCCTTGCCGTAGTCGAGGGACTGCCCTCCGAACGCCCTGTTTTTTCAACATTGCGGTGGCGATGCATTGTCGTTGGTTTTGCATGGTACTGCTGCGGCCGGCAACGTTGTATGTACAAATGGCCGTGCTTTGACCACGCGCGGTTCGTGTAGTAGCGACGAACGGCAGACGATGAGCGAAAGCGGGGGACGTGGTATCTCCACAAATGCGGCGGCTTTCCCTTGCACGGGTGAAAGGCGAAAGGCGCGTGCGCAAACACAAAGGCGCTTGCGCAAACACACAACACACATCGAGAAAGGGTCGACAAAAAAAAACAGAACCAAGTCTACAGCAGCAGCAGCACGTTGTTCAACACCATTCCCATCGTGCAACGCAGACGGTTCAGCTTTAAGCACTGGTATGCGATAATGATCGTGCGCAAGGCGTAGGTAGACAACGCGGGTGAGCGTCGGAGAGGGGCCCGGCCTCCTGCACCAACGGCCCTCGAAAACAATGGTGGCTCTTCATTGGAGCAGCCGATAACGCAGGGTCTGCAGGCACAGCGGCGGCGGCGACGGCAAAAAACTGATACACGCACAGCACCACGTTGCCCTGAAATGACGTTTTGGGCTCCGACTGTAACCGCCGAGATGCGGGAGCGGGTGACAGCTGTTTCTTTTTGTGTTTTCTGGTACGTGTAGCCTGCGCGCGCTGCTGCCGCTGTGTTCACTATAGCTGTTCGACCTTGTTGCGGCAAACACCCATGCCCCGCTAGAAGACTGAAATCTTTTCATTGGTTAGCCGGCTGCCGCCGTCGACGACGGTTCAAAAAGACAGGACACATTGACTAGAAAGCAGTGCGCGTCTTTCAATAATCGTGCTACGAAACGGGCGTCTTGTCATTGGTCAGCCTGTCAGCGCGGTCGATGCTAGCCCCCCCCCCCAAAAAAAAAACACACACACACACACACATAATGGCATTGAGAAGTTTTCTTGGCTTTCACCCGCACTGAGACTGACGTCATTTCATTTGTCAGCCGGTTAGCGCGATCGATGCTAATAATAAAAAAAAAACACACACACACACACACACGAGGTTGAGACCTTGCACAACCACTAACCCAAGCACGCACGCACGCACGCACGCACGCACCGCTGGTAGATCTTCCCCTCCTCTGTCCGAGAGAACGGCAAGCCGTACGACTCGAGCTCCAGCACCGCCCGCGGAGCCTCTCGGCACATGTAGTGGATGGCGTCCTGGTCTCCGAGCCAGTCGGAACCCTTAACGGTGTCGTACATGTGCCACCTGTTTGGTTACGGCGGGGGGTCAAACGAAGGAAGCAGGTTGGTGTTGGGGGCAACGAGACGACAAGGGGGAGAGAGCGGGGTTGAATAGATGCGATCTCTAATGTTCCCGCCCCGGGTGGACGGGACGGCGTCTGATCGTGTCTAACTGAGTTGGTGCTGCTACTGCTTGTTGCTGTTCGTGTCGAAAATTGAACGTTCTAGCCTTCAGAATTCTTCTTCTCCTACGCGTTCCTCATCGCAACAGGCAGATGGGCGTGGTCACAAGTTTTGTGTATCCCTTAAAAGAGAGAATACAGAGCGTGGACCCAGAAGCATCCCAACAAGAAACACGGGCTAGAAAGAGAGCAATACGTCTTACACATACATGGACAGACCAAACAGAGGAAAAGTCGGGCACCGAGTCGTTTTCACCGCCGAGCAGTGCCAGTCGGAACGACACGTCCAAGCAACACAGCCGCCACCCATGGGTGAACAACTGGTGGAAGCAAAAAAAGTACTGAACGGGGCGGTATCGTTGACCCTCCGCCCGAAGCTGTGGCATTCCTTCCGTGCCCTCGTTCCTCGAATCTCCCGAATCGATGTGTGTACGACCTCTGACCGACCCGCCGCCAATGCCAACGACGGCCACACAAAAGGAACAGCAGCAACGATAGACAGCAGCAAGACTGAGACATCAACACACATACACACACACACCTGCGCCAACACCACCAACAAGACCCACGAGACACCAACAAACACTCGTCACCCCCCCCCCCCCC